TCTTATGAATACTCAAAGTGAATTATAAAGATGCAAACAAAGTCAAAGTCAAAGAACTGGAATTGATTGTTTAATTGAAGATTTTAGAAAAGTAATCAGTTAATCAGTAGTATTAATGTGTAAATCACAGTCATATATAAACAAACAAAAGAAATCAAAGGCAAACAAAAACAAAACGAAAAAAAGAGGAGGTAATTCAACAAAAACCGGTTAAACGGGTAATTGCAGTTTGGCTCCGATGAATACAAAGTGATTGCTTCGGGTTCTGTTGATCTAATCAGTGTTGGTCATTTTGAGCCGTCGGATTGGGGAATCAAGCGACGTCGGCGACGAGGGAGCCGAGAACGACGATGACAGAGGAGGCGACGGAGATTTAGACGGTGACGATGAGGAGGACGAGGGTGACGACGGTAGAATGGACGGGGGTGAGGAAGGCAGATCACAGGGCTCGCGTAGCTTTCTCTTGTTCATCCCACTCTCTTCCAGTCCAGCCTCTCTCGTCATGTAGTCCTTGAGCCTCTTCACGTCCGATAACTTCACCGGTTTCACTATGAAGTCTTCTGCGCCTTCTTCCAAACACCTGGCGAACACCAAAATTCGAGTTTAAAATCAAAAATCAAAATCATGCACAAGAATTGATTAATTTCAATGAAAATAATTGCATTGACGAAGAAATTTACCTGTCTATGCGCGCCAAAACGTTCTCAGATGACATAATCACAACGGGAATCTCTTTGAGAGCTGAAGATTCCTTGATTTTCTTGAGCAATTCGTACCCGGTCATGCCAGGCATACAGTAGTCAGTGATAATCAGATCCACCTTCAAGCCCTATAATTTAATCACAACGAAATTATTATTCGAAATTCGAAATTCAAAGTTTATTGATGAAATTTATTACGAATTTGGATTAAGATTTGTTAATCAAACAAGCTTACATCGAATCCGACGGAGGAGCTCTTGTCGTCGTCCAAGCCAAGGAATTGCAGAGCTCTCCTTCCACTATCCACAGCCGTCACTGCACATTCGAACCAAAAATAAAATTCAAAATCACATAGAGCTAAAAATCGAGGGTGTTTCTCAGAAATGAAGCTCTGTTTTCAGTGCTACCTTTGCAAGAAGAAATTCTAAGCAAACGCTCAATGACCTTGCGGTCGACGAGACTGTCATCGACGGCGAGAACGTGAGCTTCTTCGGAGTTCATCGGCGCCATATCGAAGCCGTCGAGCTTCTCCGACCTCCTCCGCCATGAAACGACGCCGCTCCTGGCCATCTTCCGAGTCAGAGTGAGAGAAAACTGGATTGGTTCTTTATTTTCGCTTGGTTGAAGAACAAAGGCTTGCTCTGCGTCTGTGGCCAATGTTTTGTACAGAGGAGAGAAGAAATGAAAATCAGGTAAAATTGTCTGTCTCCGTCACCAGCGTGCTGCGTGTGTGTGTGTTTCTTCTCTCTGTAATATAGTATTGCTATGTATTGGTCTCTTTCGCAAAATCAAATCTTTTCTCTCTCTACCAAATCTCAAAAATCTACTCTTTTTTTTCGTTCATTTTTTTAATTTTAAGCCATAAAACGCTGAGATTCTGAAATCCACTTTGGTGCGATCTTCCAAATCAAACCCCGGTATCTCGGCCATCGCGAGATATTGGTCAATGTCGGGGTCTGTGCAGAGTAACGGGTCGGGGCGTTGACCGGTGGTCAGCGGTGGGCCGCGCCGTCAAATCGTTGGGTGTGGAATTGCGAATTGGGAAGTGACCAGCGCGAGTCCCGAAATGGGGGTATAAAAACGCGGGAAAATTGGTGGGAACCGGATTTTGCCGGTGGCATTGACTGTGGGTTTGGTACATACCTATACCGGGGGAGTTCCCCGAGTGGTGCAGTGTTTTGTTGGTTTGCAATAAAAAGACTTGGCATCAGTATCTCCTCGCGAATCTTGGCTTGCCCCACCACCGCCTCTCCTTCCACGTGCTACCTCGTGCTCCGTACCCCTTTTTCATTTTTCTTTAATGTATCATTTTTATTGTGGTAACCGTTTTTTATTTATTTATAATCTTAACATCAAAATAAAAATTACAATAAGTTCACACTTTGTATTTTTTTTTGGTGAAAACCAAGGTATCCCCCGCGTGATTGTGGGGACTAACCCTCGAGGTACTGTCGGGCGCAAAGCGGGGACCTCTCCCAATAAAGTCTGCTCTATTCGCAAGCGCCTGGGATCGAACCCAGGACCTCTTGTTTAAAGGATCCAAGCCCCTTCCACTTGGACCAACTCCTGTTGGTGTTCACACTTTGTATTTTAAAATTACGAACATCATACAAAATTTTACAAATAATTAAAAAGAAAAATTAGCAAACCAAATTAAAAATTGAGTTTGATCATGACCTAGCATCGCGGAAGCATATGCTACAAAGTTTACTTTCGATACTGTGGTTAAGGCTTTGAGGAACTTAACATTAGGAAAGTGAAAGGTGATTATTGCTTAAAACTCAAAATAAATGAAAAAGAGCATTTAGGTTTTGTTTGGTGTGTAAAGCTTATCCCTATGGCCATGGAATATGGACCATAGTTTATTAAAGAAAAATATTTTCTTTTTGGGTAATTGAAGAAAATAAAAGTTTGGCTAAGGTCCCAACATGGGTTTGTGTACGTGCTAAGACAACGAGACAAAAGATAGAATTGAGGAGATTTGGAAGTCCCAAAATAATCTGGAGTGGGACCAAAGATTGGCCTTTTTCATGGTTGGACTTTTGCTACCAAAATTCAAAATATATTATTCAGACACTGCAGATCAAATCTGGGAGATATCATCGCTCGCATTGTCTTTCCAAGATTGATTTTCCATCCTCCTACTCATATTTACAACCGATTTGATGGTTGTCATCACAATCTCTTTATATGGGGGTTTAATCTGATCTAAAGTGTGACACAATTTGTGCCCAACGTTTGGTACAGTTGTTCATTAGTTTACACCACTTATCAACTTAAAACCGATTGTTTTGTATGTGCGGCGATGCATTATAGAATTGATATTTACGAATGAGGTGAAGGATTATCATCGATAACATTATTTATTTTAATCTAACTTTTTCTTGTAAAGTTTAGGGTACATTCCAAGAACATGCATTTACACCCACCTTATGACTTATGGCTTATGGTATGGTGGCTTAAATTATGGGTTGAAGTCTTGTAATCAACTCCACAACACATTATACAAAGGTTTCAAATATTCGCCTTGAATTTGGAAGAGCTATTAAGAACTGGTTGACTTTGTAATCATGAAAAGCATTCATAAACCAACGCTTTTTTAACAATGAGATCCAATTAAACGTTTCACTTCGGTCAAACATAATCTCAAATTGGGGCATCAATCAGGTCCCACAAATTTATATTGCCCCGACACCTTTGCATGATTATCAAAAGACCATTGATAGTGCGGGGCCAACACTCCCCACTGTCCCCATATACCATCCATCGGCCCAGCTTTACACACATTCTACTTCATTATTTATTGTCAATTTATAAATAATATGGCGCTTCATATAGCCTAATGGGTACACGGCCTATTTCGTAACAAATGCATCTAAATGCATCATTTTTTAATTATGGCATGGCAGGCAGACCATCATAACTAGCTGTGTGGTCCCTCCAATTTATTGATGATCTCGAAATCTCTTTCAACATCAGGAAGAAAAATATTATCACACAAATTCTTTGTTAAATTCAACCTTTTGTTATTCATGCAAAAATTCAAACACGTCATGTTTAGTAAAATTAGTGTCATATTTCTCAACGATATCATCGAGTATATTAAATGTATTTCATTTATCGTACGTATCAATAGTCAAAGTCTAACGAGAAACATAGAGGTAAAAAAGATGGATTAATTTTTGTGACTTTGGAGGTAAAAGAGATGGAATCACCCTGTGATGTGTGTGAATGATCCTTCTTTCTCTTTGAAGATATGGCATCTTGCTTTTTGTAAACAGAGTGTGATTTGGGGCATCTTTTTCTTGTTGTTTCTTGTACTAACAAATTTAATTTATTGGAGTATTGGATCTCTCTTTACCAAACAGGCAATGAGAACACCTTCCATCTTTTCAACACAAAAACACAAGGACATTTTAGGTTTGAAGATATGAGAGAGACGATTGACTAAACTGAAGATGATGGGAAATTATGGGAATATAATATTTGATTGAAAGGAGTCTCATCACTCAGAAAATAATGGCATTCAAGGGAGATAAAAAATATGCTAGGAGGGCTCATGCTAGATGAATGGCGGTAAATTTTCATTTTCATTTTTTATTTTTGTTAAACAAGAGAGATACCATCAAGAATTCAACATTTTAATATATGCTTAAATACTAAGTGTTTTTTTTTTTTTGGGATTGAAAAGTTTGGTGTCCTCTTTGTGCATGCTTAAACTAATAAACTTAATCACTCAATTAGTTGTTGGGTTTGATTATTGAGAAAATGACAGAAAGCTGTAGGGAAAGCACAGAATCTTGCAACAGCCAATCCCGACCCCATTTCCATTCATATGGAAAATGCAAGCTGAGAAAAAGGTTGATATGTTTTGCTTTTTTAAAAAAAGTTGTTGGTAGTGTGTATTTTGCTTAATGAGTCATCTTCCTAATAAAAGGGAATGAAAATGACTTATGTTTTAGCAGGAGCTTGTATAATGAGGGATTATATGGAAAATGCAAGCTGAGAAAAAGGTTGATATGTTTTGCTTTTTTAAAAAAATTTGTTGGTAGTGTGTATTTTGCTTAATGAGTCATCTTCCTAATAAAAGGGAATGAAAATGACTTATATTTTAGCAGGAGCTTGTATAATGAGGGATTATGTTAAGGGGTACAACGAAGGGTTTAGTTCAGCAGTCCAATAATAACTGTGTATAAAATCGAATGGTTATTAAGGACCCGACCCGTCTTTTAATGGGCTTCAAACTTCATCACGAGATGGGCTTTGTTGCCAATTTGGGTAGACTTGGAAGGGCCGCAGTCCGTTCGGTATAAACGTGCCCGAGTTCAAACGGAAATTGAGAGGAACTGAGGAAGAGCAAAAGCTTCCGCGAAACGATGGAGTGTGCCGGGAAGAGACAGGGGACTCGGTGCACAGGACCAGCCACGAGAAGATGTGCTCGCTGTGGAGCTGTTGCTTATTGCTCTGTTTCTCACCAGGTGCTTCTAATTTGCATGACTTTTTTTGTCGATTGGCTGTGCTTTGAAAGCAAATCAGAAATTCATAAGAATGCTGTAAAACATGGACAGCTTAGTTTTAAAAATAAAATACAAGTGTGGAAGCCTTATTCTTTATTTTTTTCATGGCTTCTGATATTTAGCTATGTTTTTAGCTTTCATTTAAGAGAGCAACAATTGGGTTAGTCTTAACTTGTGCAGAAATGGCGTGTGTGTGAGGAAGGGAGAAATTGATTAAAAAAGGTCTGTCGACTTGGGTCTAGGTTCTTGGTTTGCACCTTAGAATAGTATCTTCAGTGGTAGCTCATGCTCACTACAAAATAATATTGCAGTTGAGCTAATAAGACTAAAGTAACTCAAAGAACAAAGAAATTACTGATAATGGGTTACCTGATTATTTGGGTGTCAGCATTATAGTCCATGTGAATAGGTTCACCACATGTAGGCATGCGCCTGTATGTTTACATTGGTTGCTAAGTCTTCTCACTATGCTCATTCCCTCACTGCTCGATTTCATTATGGTTGAATGTTGTTTACTCGGTGGGTGACAATCTTTTTCTAACTTCCATTGACAATAAAATTTTATGGTTGTCATGATTTTCCTTGAATTTAAGTTATTGTCCAACTTGATAAATATTGTAGATTGTGCATTGGCCTGATCATAAAGAAGAGTGCGGAAGGTTGGAGCAACATATGAAGCATATGGATATCTTGAATGAGTTTCCTTTCACTTTTACTCAAGAAGCAACTGTTCAGGTAATCAACAATTTCTTTCTCTTTGTAAGACAGGGAACCTTGAGTAGTGCTTTTCTATTCTGCCATCTGAGTGTTATCACTGATGTTATTCCGGGTATGATCTTTCAGGTATGTGAAAAGCTGGAGACCAGGTGTTCAGTCTTGAAAAAAAGAGGGGTCCATCAAATGGGAATGTGGTTGTATGAATGTTGTTGTGGGAATTCAGTTATTTCCTTCGATTGTTCAAGGTTTCTTTTGTTTTTAATTGATCTGCCTGGTACATCTAAAATTCTCTGTACTAGTTTGTTTTCCATGTTGATTCTATTTCTGTTCACGTATGTTTTTTTTTTTTTTTTTTCCATTG